CGCCAACTAGTATCAAGCACCAAAAGTAATATGGAACTATTTTAATCGACTGCCAAAATATGCAGGACCGAGGCCAAGACCAAGACCAAAAGCAAGACCAAAAGCAAGACCAAAACCAAGACCAAAACCAAGACCAAAACCAAGACCAAAACCAAGACTAAAACCAAGTCCAAAACCAAATCCAAAACCAAAACCATAACCAAAACCAAGACCAAAACCAAGACCAAAACCAATACCAAAACCAATACCAAAACCAATACCAAAACCAAGACCAAAACCAAGACCAAAACCAAGACCAAAACCAAGACCAAAACCAAGACCAAAACCAAGACCAAAACCAAGACCAAACCAAGACCAAAACCAAGACCAAAACCAAGACCAAAACCAAGACCAAAACCAAGACCAAAACCAAGACCAAAACCAAGACCAAAACCAAGACCAAAACCAAGACCAAAACCAAGACCAAAACCAAGACCAAAACCAAGACCAAAACCAAGACCAAAACCAAGACCAAAACCAAGACCAAAACCAAGACCAAAACCAAGACCAAAACCAAGACCAAAACCAAGACCAAAACCAAGACCAAAACCAAGACCAAAACCAAGACCAAAACCAAGACCAAAACCAAGACCAAAACCAAGACCAAAACCAAGACCAAAACCAAGACCAAAACCAAGACCAAAACCAAGACCAAAACCAAGACCAAAACCAAGACCAAAACCAAGACCAAAACCAAGACCAAAACCAAGACCAAAACCAAGACCAAAACCAAGACCAAAACCAAGACCAAAACCAAGACCAAAACCAAGACCAAAACCAAGACTAAAACCAAGTATTCGTTTAATTGCCCAGATGTTAAATTTACCAAAATCTGTGGTTCACGACATTGTGACACAGCATTTGCACATGCGCAAGGTGTGCTCACTGACGACCAGAAATTGCGGCGAGTGGAAGTGTGCCAAGAAAATTTGAACATGTGTGAAAGTGACCCCCAATTTTTGAATAACGTAATCACAGGTGACGAGTCGTGGATCTTTGTGTATGATCCCGAGACAAAGAGGCAATCTTCCGAGTGGCACACGACGGCGTCTCCTCGCACAAAAAAGAGAAGAATGAGCAAATCCAAAGTGAAAACGATGCTGATTGTCTTTTTTGACATCAAGGGCATCGTCCATCATGAATTTGTTTCTCCTGGACAAACCGTCAGCCCCAAGTTTTACGTGGAAGTGCTCAGGAGACTCAAACGAAGTGTCAGTCCGGTCCGACAAGACATCGCAGCCGACTGGAAGTTGCACCACGACAACGCCCCGCCTCACACCGGCTTTCTTGTGAACAGCTACCTGACCAAGGTCGGCATCCCAATGCATCTGCAGCCGCCCTACAGCCCAGATGTGTCCCCCCCCCCCCGGATCCAAGCAGCATGCACAGCGGCTCTCAAGGCTATTCCGGAGAATGCCTTCCGTGATGCCTATAGTGCTTGAAAATCGCGCTGGCAGCGCTGCATCGACGCAGAAGGAGCCTATTTTGAAAGTTCTTAAAGAATTGTAACGATTGAATCAATAAATTTTTGAAAATCGACTCAGTCCTATTACTTTCCGGATATATCCAGTATATTAACAAACCTATCAAAGCATTGCAGATCAGACTACTCTCCACATGAGCAATCAACATGACCGCCCGATCTCTGCAGGTGGATTATGAAGGAGAAGACTAGTGTGGTTTTTAAAATCAATCAGAATTAATTTCTGGACAGAAGAAAACTAGTGAATCTATAAACTGTAACAGACAAATTTTTTGGGAAGGATTATCTCAAGAACCAGGTTCGCGTTGCCGAAAAACGTAAAACTGTGGTGCCACGCTTCAAAGCTGTTTCTTGTGAGATAAGAGGTACTCAAACGAGCTTCTAGATCTAATGGATGAACCAATGGAGGTAAAATTACAGATAAAATGTCACTTGGCCCATATTAGTGTGAAGTTTGAAATACATACATACAAATTGATAGTTTTGGTAATCACAAATACTCACGTTGGCCAGATGACTGTACTTATGTATTTTGTTACAATAAAGTCGACTAAACCGAATTTGTGCTGTCAAGATTGAGCGTTTTTGTGCATTGAGTGGCTTATGACTCAACGACCAATCATCAACATCAACCATTTTTTCTTTGAAGTCTATCTGATGTATGTATTGAAATATGGAACATTATACTAAAAAATTACCATTTTGAAAAATAGTGATTCTACAATTTAGGGTTGACTGAGTTGACTATCACATCGTCCCCATTTCTATTCAAAAAAATGTTACATGATGGCGCCGGCCACCATCTTAAGATTTTTAACGAAGCAGCCGCGCAGGCAGAAGCCTAAATTCCGGGACACCGCCAAAGAAACTTTGTTAATTCTATTTTTGAACTGCCTAAGATTAGTAGAACTGGAAAAAGCCTCATCTTGTAGATTGTTCCACAATCTCGACACTCTGGGTACAAACGAGCGGACGTATTGGCCTGTTCTGGATGTACGAAGTTCGACACGGTCAGGATGGGAGACTGAAGTCTGGCGAGTTTGTCCGGCAGGTACATTGCGGCCTCATCGAGGAGAGCTCTGAGGAGCAAAGCTTGTTGGTGTAGCGGTAGGAGAGTGCTAAATCGCAAACGGCCCGCCGGTGCGAAATGGTCCCAAGACTGTCTGTTAGATAGGAGTCATCGATCAGTCGGAGAGCCCTCCTTTGGACGGCATTGATCATGGATAATGTATTTAGGGTGACAGCACCCCAAATGTGTGATCAATACTCGAGGCAAGGTCTTACCTGAGCCTTGTATAAAGTGAGGGGTTCATGTTCAGAAAAATGTTTCTTAGCTCTTAACAAATAACCTAGCTTTTTCCCAGCAGCTGCTGCTATTGACGAGATGTACTCGAGCCAGATCAAGTCTCCGGTGATCTCGACTGCGACCAGCCGAAATGAGTGGCTCTTTGGAAAAACTCGGCCATCCATCGAGACAGGATGAGCGCTAGGCCGCTTTTTGTTCGTCAAGGTACAGCACTGGGTTTTGGAAGAATTAAATTGTACAAGATTGCTACGTCCCCAAGCAGTGACAACCTCCAGGACTCTCGTCAGAGAGCAAGTCGCTGCTAGTCTTCTTTTTTTTTTCAGCTTACTGGCAAAAGGCGGAAGGCTACTCTGTGAGAAAGACCCACTGCCATTACGCTGAGATATTACCCTGTGCCTAACTTTTATATTGTGCTGGTCTTTAGCATTGCGGACCGCTTCGTTATATTTGATTCTGGACGCGACGTCGTCTTATCTGTTCTCTACAGTGGTGTTTTGTAGGAAGATTCTGTGTGCCTTGATCTTCTGCTGACGAGCATTGTTGCACGATTTATTGAACCAGCCGTTGGAACAGCACGCTATTGGCGTGTGGTGAAACGCGAGGGAAAAAAGTAAGGCTCGTCACCAGCTAGGTCAGCCCTTCAGTAATAGCGAACGCTTATTATGTGCATTGAAATCACCGAGGAGAACTACCTTTGAAGCGTGGTGATTGATGTTCAGGAAGTCGATCTTGGCAGCGAGGTATTCAAGTAGGTCATCCCAGTTACGGCTCAAGCGAGAGCGATAGAGGCAGCAAATAAATTTCGGGGATGTTTTTGAGTTGAAGCGAAGGCACAGAAAGTCCTTCTAGTCTAATTTCCAAAAATTCTCTCTGGGACAGGAAATACTGCTGCGGACAAACGCCATAACTCGCTCCCATTCTTTCTCAGATTGGAGTGCACCCCGTAATTTGGGAAGCTAAGATAGTTATTCGGTGCGGAATCTGAGATTTTTGTCTAAGCCAAGAGAAAGATGGCGGGGCGATGAGACTGCAGGTAGTGATGAACATCATCAATGTTGCTTCTTGTGAAACAAATTTTATCATCCATGTTCCTCGAATCCATCTTCTACCCAGACATTCCGAGAATGACTTTGCGTCTGGAATTCTTAGTACTCGAGTATCCTTCATCATTAATTTCTTTGTTAGGGGAATATAATCGACTGTGTAGTTAAGGTGTGAAAAAGGTGGCGGGTCGTACTGCCTCGGCAGACTGGTCCTTGTTTACCACCTTCTTTTTGCGAGTTTTAAATAGACCTAAAAGTGTCCCGTAAAGGGCTTGTACCTCCACCCGGCAAACGATACTGAGGTTTTCCTTAACGCGTGTGCAATCACCGGAACGGGAAAGGGTGTTAAGCTGAATACAACAACGGAACAAGCATCAGTAGGGTAAAAATACAGTATTCGTTAATCAACCATGTTTGTCTGGCCAATCAAACCAAAATTCTTTTTTATTTTACGAATTTCAAACGATTGCAATAAGGAGAAATTTTAACTACATGTAGTTTCATTGGCCAGACAACCATGGGGGATTATTATCGACATGAAAACTAGGATAAGTTTCAAATTTTACATAGTAGGAATTTATTCGTTGTTTAAATAATTAATATGGCGATGGGCTTTCTCAAAAACACTGTTATATAATATTCATATCGGTTGAAATCTTACGATCAAAATGAAGCAAGGAGTTTTACGTAAAATTAATAATCTATTGATAAAAATGACTAATTTCTTAAAACGATAAATACTAAGAAGTAAAATTAGAAAAGGGCATATCAAAAAGCGGAGGCTTCATTTATTAAAGAAGATCAAACATTTAAAAATAACTTTTATCGATTAAAAATATACCGTTGCATACCTCTTAGCCTTCAAACTATAATGAGGGTGTTCAGACGTTCAAAAGAAGCGTAGCACGCCCCTTTGCTGTTAACATGTAACACGCGTTTAAAATACTTTTAAATTTTAAGTAATTTTATTAAATGCAATTAAAAGCCTGCTCTGAAAAATGTTTTTTTATTTATTTTTGAGCAAACGCGATATGCAATAAATTCTTATCTCGTTCATTGGTGTAAATTAAGCACACTATCTCCTAGCCTATCCCACCTGTCGCTTGTCTGGCTTATCTGCCTCTGATATCAGCAGGCCACGAAACAATCGAACAACGACGCTGCCGGCAACCTCGATATTCTACCGCAACGATCTAGTGGGTGACGAATCGCGATTGCTACTTGTGTGCACGTACAGCGGAATAACCTTTAAGTGCCGGAAAAAAGCTTGTATCGTTGGAAAGAATCGGCAAAATGCTGCAGTTGGAAGAGAAGGGCATAGACGCGGGTATGAAGTGCGTCAAATACATGCTGTTCGTGGCGAATTTCATGTTTGTCGTAAGTGCTATAACATTTTATTTCATTATCCCCTGATAAAGATCAGCGATTATTCGTATGCGCACGAGAAAAATAGTTATGACGCCGTGTTGCCGTTTTTGGGATAATATCCGACGTTCTGTGTGAAATTATAAATGAAACGAAAGCCTCGCATACGCGAGTGAAATTTTTCAGCTCGATTTTTTTTAACAACATTTACCTAATAACAAGTAGACCGTATCTACTATACCGCCAGAACCGGAGGCACCTAGCGTCCACAGTGGTGACCCGGGTGTCAGATGCGAGTTGGATTGGTCCCAACAGATAGCTTGCTGTTTTACTGCCGATTCTCGTAAATGATGGCAATTTGGGTTGTGGTATTTCGATAGACCTTGCATCCTGGATGGAGGATAGTTGCTCAGCTTTCATTCGTTGTCCAATCTGGGACCAAGCCTACACCATGCTAATGAGTTGTCAAATAGCACGAAACAGCTGTTTATGATTGATGATCTGTGGTCGGACGGCCGAAAGCTATATTACGTTTGTTCAATGGCGACTAGACCGTATTTACTATACCGCCAGAATCGGAGGCATCTAGCGGCCTCATTGTCAAATGCGAACTGGGATACAGTTTAAATAGACATCTTGCTGTTTCACTCTGGCAGTGATTGATTCTGGTAATCCACTTTATGTTCTCTTATTTCGATAGACTCTTAATAATGGTTGACTGTTTTGAGGTAATAAATGCGATTATTATCTGATAAACCCTGGAGATATCGGTGATTAAAGAATAACTTAAAAGTTATTATTTTTAAATTTCTCAAGTGTCTAAATTAAAGTTCAAACCTTCTCCTACAAGTCCTAAAAATGTGTTTTATTTTATCTTGAAGCAGTATCTAGTAGTTGATAGCCCGCTGTGGACACGCGCGTGTTTATCTAGCGCTTAACAAGCAAATAACGATACTTTAAATAAACTAAGCCTAAAATAGTTCTCGGTGTCTTGTAGAAGAACATTTGAGCTTTCAGTTCAGATGTTTGTAAATCTCACCTCACCTCACGCTTAGGTATTGAAAATGGATGTTTCAGGCCATAAATCGCTTACAACCCTAAAACGGCCAACAAAGATAAGTTGCAAACGAAATTTGTATTTAGAGACTTTTATCCAGGGCTAATAAAAACAATGTATTGCGATTTGTATGAAGAAAATTGTTCAAACAAATTACCGGGTTACCGCCCGCCAACTTCTTGACTCATTATAAGGGGAATTCCAGAGACGTGTGAAAAAAGCATGGCGGAAAATATCTTCCGCGAAAATAAAGTTTTTGAATCGTCTATCAGGATCGATATTTCTAAGCTTAAACAGTATCACTGTCACTACTATTAAAGAAAAATACTTATCTGATACGAAATCTTTGCATAACTATTACTAAATGTTTGACCTGAAAGATTAAACAACACCTTTTGTAGACTTAGTATTCACGTATTATGCTCACAAAGTTAACATATTGGAAAATCACATTGAAGGTATTAGAACATTGAGGCAATGTACGACAGCAGCATCAACTCATGCTGATTGCCTTTATCACTCGAAAGCTTTCATGTTGCCGGTATTATACCATAAGTCATGCCACAGTCCTTACTTAATAAGCGTACTGTCTCCTTTCGGCTTAAAGCACCTTATTGCACTGCAAGTTCTTTAGTTTCAAAGTCATCTCATTTCAATGCTTTTCAAAGAGAACGTACCGCCCTATCTTGGAAAGATCTCAATGCTGGTACTCCAGGATTCCCCGTACAACGAAATGTCCATCTTATACATATGTGTTCGCGTATTGTAACAATAACTCTGAGTCGTTAATCTGAAGTTCCATTATGATCTTCTATAACCAAAGATCAGGATGGACTACCCAACTGACTGCAAACATGGGGTGAAAACAATAAATGGGTAGAAAACAATAAATGGGTAACTGTGCAAAATTACGTCCGTAACATACCGCCCGACACAACTACCGCAAGTCGTTAATATCTGTGGTGTAAAGAAGTACCAATAAAGAAAGGATGGGGGCCATGCATCAGCTCGGTTTTTGGCCTACTACAATTTTGATCAAAAGAAAAAAACATTTTTTTCATATATACAGGGTTACTTCGAAGTTGAGTCATTTATTTTAACAGTAAGTAGATCTGATCAAAAGAAATGTTTTTCCCTTTAACATTTTTGTGGTAAAATTAAAGTAACAAAGTTATAGCATAGCCCTTTAGAAGTTTGAGTACCGCCCTGTCTCAATAATAATATTATGTGCTCGTGTTTGGCAACAACGTATATAATCCGCCTTATCGGTTCATCGCATCGGAAACAAAAAAGCGAAAGAATTTGAAATGCTGATCACGATGTCTTTATTCAGTCAATGTGTCAGTCGGTAACGCGTGCGTGAATAGTGGTGTTTGCTGCGTGGCTCAAACGAAATAAAAAAGGGCACATGTTTATGCGGATCGGTTTCCCAATCGAGTGCAACCACCCCTCGTGCCTTTGTTAATGTAACACAACGGGCTCGTGAATCAGGTGACTTAAGACCTCACAGGGGAGGGCATGCCGGTGCTCCAAGACCTCACGATCAAATACAGGTCCGCACTGAAATACTTGTCGGGAGGGTACTTTATAAAACAAGGTAAATTTTTTTTTATTTATTTTTTATTTTTACACACATATTTTGGTTTATCTTCCTTCTACAATCATTATCTGAAAATTAATGACCCAACTTCAAAGTCACCCTGTATATATAACTAAATGATTAGACTACAAACTTACATAAACCTCCTCCTTGCCAGGATGAAGGCCAGCTCATGTCAGTTTAAGATGAATTTCTAGTTCTCATAGGTTTTCGGGATCGCGGAGTCCGAATCTGGGGTGAATAGGTCCTTTGCAGGTCATTTGATGAGCGTTTAGATGTCATCAAAAGGCCATATTGAGGAAATAAAATCTACTGGACCTGCACACAGGAATATTCTACGAGTATAAAAACATCTTCTACTCGCAAATACGAGCAACGGTCGGTTCTTCTGGACGCAAGCATATTGAAGTTAACTTGTCAAGGAGTAGCCTTCCCCCGCTTACGTGCCACGATAGAATGGTTGTAACCGACTCAAGGGCTAATTTGTAAGTGCTTGCCAAGATCCACTATGGACGTCATCGCCAACGCCCGAGTGTCGTCGGTTCAAAGATTTCCCTGCACTATGCGGGAACAACTTCAGGCATAACACCATAAGACTTGTGCTCTCCTCGCTCAACATCAACAAAACCTCTGGTCCTGACTTGAATCTTGCCACTGTACTAAAGAAATGTACCCTGCTTTCTGTTATAAGGTAATGGTGAGTTGCATTAATCGGGAATATCTGTAGTACTTTGAACGTCACGGTTTGTTTAGCGACAGACAGTATGCTTTCCGGAATAAGCGATATACACCGGACCTCCTAGCTCACGCCACCCAACGGTGGAGTAAACTCATGCAGACTTGTGGTGAGTCTGTTGGTCTTAATGTGAAGAAAGTGTTCGATCAGCATGCTGCTCTCTCATATGAACTTCCATCCTATGGCGTCGCAGAGAAGACAAAACCGACGTACAGTTCCAGTATATCTGATTTCTGGGCATTTCCTCAATTTGACTTTGAGATGACCTACAAACTCATTTGAAATGACCTTATACGGACAAAAATTTCACCTTTAACGGACTTTGAACTGACATTCACCCTGGACAGGAGGAGGTTCCTATAGGTGCCGTTTGTGGTCAGACAATTTAGTTATATTATATACATAAGAAAAAAGTGGGTTTTCTTTTTGATAAACGTATTATGGTGAACATACCGCGGTGTACAGAATAACGAACTAAAAGTAATTCGTTATGGAAAAAGGTGGATTTTTTCATATTTGAGAATGAACTTAGTGAAGTCTTTAGATAAGCTAAAATCACATGTAAAAAATATTTCTATCGAGACAACCTTAATCTTTCATTTATCCTGGTGACTGAACAGATTATAAGATTGCGTCGAAGAAATTTAGCTTGCTGGCGGTTAGCCCACATCAGTGGCCCTTTCAAAACACAAAGTAAAAATGAAAAACATCCACATCGACTGTCATCGGTTTATTCAACAACTAAAGACAGATAGAAGAATCCATAAAAAAACTACTGTTTTAGTTTTAGTAACTAAAACCTATGTCAGTGTAAAGGCATCGGAAAATATCTGCTGTTCGATAAGCAAGTATAAATAAGTAATAAAGAAAGACAATCTGGCTTCATAAAGTTATTTACAATATTGCTAATCAAAATTTGATTTGGATGAATAAAATAAATGAGTTGCATAGTGTTAGAATTTGCTAGTCTGCCATGATTCACTCTGCTATTGACATTTGTTTAATTTCATTTTTTTATTCTTCGCTGGAATGTGATTTCGAAGAAGCAAATGAATTGCAATGATAAAACTAGCAATAATATGCTATGATTCACTGCGACTATCGATAATCTGAATTCTGCAATTCACAAAATGTAAACAAACTACGTAGCGAAACTTATCTAAACGTTTCCAACACGTTTGCTACCAGAATGTTCCATGATGCATAATAAAGATGTTACATAGATAACAGCTGCTTTATGACAAATAAATGGTATGTGCTTACTTGATGGAATATTTGCTGACTCTAAACACCGAGTCAATGCTTTTCAGATGCATGTTTATGCTGCATCTTGCTGAGTACGAAATAAAGTTACATGGTTACTTTAATCCAGATCTGAAATCCACCTTTATCCCAAATTTTCCCATGTTTCGTCAATAGGTGCTAAATTCATACCGACTTTTTGCTAGGCGAATCAATGATCTGGAAAGCTCTCTTTGTTCCTCTCTCTCTCTCCCTCTCTGTGTGTGCCGATATTCCCTGCCTTAATTTCTTGACACTTTCAATACACAAGTCACAAGAAAGAATTAAGAATGTTAATATCAAAAAATCGAATAAGGGTGAGATCGAAGAACGAATAG